TCATTTAAGGATAGCTACGTTATAAACTGCAAAAGAGATATTTTTCAAAAACCCATATGACCTGCTCTTTAAGTTTTTTGAGCGGTGTATATAGTTAAACTCCAATCAAAGACAGACATATCTGTCATGAACAACCCCAGTGGAATAATAACACATCTATCTTGTATCAGTTTATGGTCCTTCTTTTTTTTCCTACTTCACCATGCATTGGCAGGTGAAGCTAAAAGTTAATTTTGGACCCTGATTCCAAGTCTTCTGTGTATTAGACTTCAGTTGTATGTTGAGACCCATTCAGAGTCTGTTGTTCATCATCTGTTTGTTGATGGATCATTCTCAGGATGCTGTGCCATTTGTCAGTGTGATATTTTTTTTTTTTGATCACACACTATAATAGAAAACCTTTGAAATTATTATGTTTTGTGCCAACCCTGTTGTGCGGCCGAAAGTCAGTGTTGGAGTGGGTAATAACAGCCTGAGCTACCAAATATATTTTTACCACACCTTTATTTTTACATTCAGCATTCTTGTACTTTGTGATAAGAACAATAATGCTTCAAAACTTGTAAAGACACAAACAGTGATATTTCTGTTTCAATAAACTTAAAATTTAGGTGGAATTAGTTTAGTTTAATTTCAGTATAACCCACTAAATTCCAGTAGTCATTAACAGTGTTGGGGGTAACACATTACAAGTAACGCGAGTTACGTAATCAGACTACCATTTTCAAGTAACTTGTAAAGTAACGCATTACTTTTTTAATTTACAAGAAAATATCTGTTACTGTTTCAAAATGTAATGCCAGTTACTTTGTTTTCCCATTTATTGACTGACAAGTCTCCTGTCCCCATATTGGGAGAAATCGGAAGTACAGAGGAGTTGTGTGCGCTGTGTGAACATGATGTAGTTCTAGACTAAATGTGAATGTGCATTAATTCATCCCACTCACAAAAAAACAGATTTAGTATTCATCAAAATTAATTAAAACAGTGAAATGCAAACTCAGAATATGACGCAAACCTGCAATAATTAAATATGTTAAATAACACAAATGTATCTAATCCCATTTTATTAACCAATGTCTTTGCTGCTGACCTTTGATGATCCAGTTGAGTTCAACCATACTAATAAGCAAAAATGAGTTTAGATAAACTAACAATTGTGCTACATTGTTTTTTTATTGCTGAAGAGTGTTGAACCTTCTCCTGCGGCAATTGGGCGGGTTTTGTTGTGACAACCTGGCAACCCTAGCATGCACCTTTACATAAAACAATGATATAGTGCTCCAATCAGTTCTTAAAATAATGACATAAAAACATTTTGTTTAACACTTATGCAAGCGAATCGTGCCCACAGCTAAAGTTTAGCTGCTAAACTGTAAACACTTAACAAAACAATAATGGTGGATACTTTAGCCGAATGCTAACGTGACTAACTGATGAAACGATACAGTTTGTAAACCAAAATATGTCTACTGTAATGTTTGAAGAAATACAGACAAAAGATGCTCTGTCTTAACTTTTAATGAGAATGCAGAACACATGTATCACAGGCGCAGCACACTAACTAACTCCCGCATTAACCCTGTAACTGCCGATGCAGCAAAATAAACAGCAGTTTCACAATGATTATAAAGTCTGTGTGCTACACTACATTCTTTATTATTAAACGAAGTAATTGGAACAACCTGTTTGCTTGCTTGTGTTACATGAGAAAATACAAATTTTTGCCTACCTGATGTAATAGATTTAGTGCGGGTGCGGTTCGCGACTCGCAGTCTTTGTCAAACGGGTCTGGTCTGGTACAGAATTAAATTAGTGCTGCTGTTGGATAACGGGTCGAGTGTTCTGTTAAGTACTGCTGGTGCACATTTACCAAACAGGACCCATGCAGGACTCTGCTTTAAACTGCTTTGCATCTCTCCGTCAGATAACCTCACGTGCCCGATGCGCCATTTACAGGTAGGCTATTTCCCTAAACCGCCGGCGCCACACAGCTCATATATTTTTCTGCCAAGGGGTGATGATTACGAAAACGATTATTTACAGATCACTTCCAGAGCGCAGGCCAAAGAAAGACTTAACAAAAAAGACATAATTTAACCTTAGTGAAGCAAATGTCTAGCGACACAAAATGAACGCATGCTGATATTGATTAAATGGTAAAAGTATACAAATATACGCCAAAATTAAGCAGTCAAGCCTTTTTACTAAATAAATCTAGACAAGTTGTGCTTAATGTCATATCTAATGACGTTTTCGTCTTAGTTTTAGTTTTCGTTTATGAAAATAACCTTGCGTCAGTCTACATTAATCGACACATACTTAGGAAATAGTGGGCTCACAGCGAATTATCAGAACTACTTCAGTAAGACAGTAATATTGTGCTTTACCTGGAAACCTAAAGCTGCACTATGAGATTAGATCTATCAAAACCTTATAATCTGCGATGTTATTATATCAGTCAGTCATCATAGGGCTCAAAAGATACCGTTTCCTGAGAATGACCCAGATGGGGTCACTGCTGGACACACTAGGGGTTGTATTCATTGTTGGGCTGTGTTTGTGCATTCATCTGACTGTAGATGTACGCTGATACACAGTAAAATCCAGAGTGTTAAATTAACACTGCTCGGAGCATATATGGTCCCAGAAACGTGATATTTTGAGCACTCAATTGAAAAATAAGATGATAAAGAAGATTAGAAGCCAATGAATATAAAAGCCAAGATTAGACAAGCAGTACTTGGTAAAATGACTAGCACACAACAAAAGGTGCAAATTGTATTTCTGTGGTATCCTTGAACACAGCATCTTCTCAACATGATGTAAACACACTTATGCCGAGTTCACACTGCACGATTTTAGCCTGATTTTTCACTCGCCGACAGGTTTTGCGAAATCGCCGTAAGCTTTTCTTTGGCTGGCACTATTGTGTGTTAAACACATATGTGATGGCAAGGAACTTATGGTAAAATCATGTCATGTCTCTGATTGAAATTTATCTAAAACTTTAGTGCTTTATGCTTTCTATATTTTTGCAGTTATATGAAATAACAATGTGAGAAAAACCTTCTTAAATGACTTTTATAAATATGGTTCATAATGAGGTTTCAATTCTGGCACTCATAGACATGAAGAATCAGCATGTGAATCTCATATGCTGATTCTTGATGTCTGCGTGTCTAAACAGCACAGATGTTCTAAACTGGTGTGCAAAGTGTTTTTAAAGCTCTTCCTATTATTTCATTAAAATACAGTTGTGATCAGTAACATAAACTATATTACACATTACCACTGATGACATCAGTGAACCTGGCGACTACATGACAACAATGTCATTATCAAAAAAATGGGCAACTTAATCTGAACACATATTCTCTTGGTTTTTCTTGCCGTAACAAATGTGTTTCATAAACACAGTGACAGCAACCAGAGAAAAACTAATGTTAAAAAGTCAAGGGTCAAGATCCCAACTAAAGCAAACACTTATCTCCACAACGGTGACTTCAAATTGTATTATTTTCAATAAACATTAACATCTAAACCTCTGTTAATTTTAACTTTAAAACTGCTTCAGTGTTACTTTAACACTCTTTTTGAGTGGGACCATATATGCTCCGAGCAGTGTTAATTTAACACTCAGGATTTTACTGTGTAAACCTGGAGTTGGTAAGTCTTCAATATACAACATTAGACATTGGAGGTGTGACTTACCTAGAATTATATGTCCTGGGGTTCAGATATATCATTCATCCTGAGCTGTGAGAGAAGTTGAATAGGCTTCCTTTAACACGGTGTTGTCATTTCCTGTCAAAACCCAGCTACTTTCTGACTAACTTGACATTTGCCCCATTTATTTTGGAATCACCCAATTAAAAAAAATAAAAATAAAAAAAGAATCAAAGACCAAATTCACAGTCCAAAGCTCTATAGTTGTTTACAGTCTCTACAGGGAAAGGGCAAAATGTTCAGAAAATAAGCCATGGTAATATTTTAAATGTGTGCACTTAGTTGTACCACTTAGGGGCAGGGTAAAATCACTTGTGACAAAGTTCTCTGTCCTCATATCATCTGCGTGATTTCAAGGGAATATTTAAAAATAATAATAATAATCACCATAAAAGTCACTATGGTAAAACTATGCTATATATTGTACTGTGTAAATACATTAATATGTCATAATGCAGTCTAGAGTACCATGATGCCTCTGATATTAAGTATCATCCTCCACAATACTTTCAGTGTAAGGGTAAAAAAGTCCTGATGTATACACTCAGCAAACATAGTTGTAACAGATAAATATAGTCCTATGACGAAACAGAATTGTATACAATCTCCCACTGGGTAAAATTCAGGAAGTGTAAGTTCTGTCATATGAAAAGTGTAATAAATATGCACATGCACCCAAAGCTAAGCACTGCTCTATACAGTTTACACAGAAACGATAAACAAACAAATAAACATTTTGATAGGCACCTATATTTGACTATAGTGTAAAGTACACTTTTGTGTTTACAGGTCCTGGTGGGGTTTACCCATATGGATATGGTAAATATGATCAGTCCATCATTAAAGACAAAAACACATTAAAAACTTACCAAAGTCAAAATCATGCTGAATGTTTCTTCGTCATGTTGTTTTAGGCCCATTTCCTGGTGGCACTGGAGCAGCTGGAATTGGAACTGGTGTGTTACCTGGAGCCAAACCTCTGAAAGCCCCTGGTAAGATCATATATACTGTACCAGGGGTGGCCAACATCGGCCCTGGAGAGCCACAGTCCTGCAGAGTTTCACTCCAACCTTAATCAAACACACCTAAACAAGCTAATCAATGTCTAATAGTTATTAGAAAGCTGCAGGTAAATGAGTTTTTATCCAGGTTGGAGCAAACCTCTGCAGGACTGTGGCTCTCCAGGACCAACTTTGGCCACATCTGAAATATATCCATATAACTACCTTTGCTACAGATTACTCAGGCATCAATAACGAAGTTCACATAGACTAAGACATTCAGATATTGGAATTAATTGGTCAAAATCTTAAGTTGACTGCTATAAGCAGATATAAAATTATATCCCAGTTGCGTGAAATTCTAAGTTAATGTAAAGACCTTCAGAATTCACAAGATCCATTGCATGCATTTAATCAGAAAATGCTGATTACCATATACTGTGTATATATGTATTTGTTTGGTTCAGGCGTTGGAGGAGCAGGCGGTGTCGCAGGTGTAGGGGGAGTTGGAGGGGCAGGACTCGTACCTGGAGCAGGTGAGATGTAATGCAATACTAAATTACTTGATCCTTTAGCAGTGTTCCTGTAGCTTGAAAAGTACTAAAAGTACAATACTAAGGTCACAGCTTCCCAGGGAATACATAAACTGAAAAAATGCATGTTTTCAATGCAATATATATCACTTTGAATAAAAATGTATGCCAAGTGCATTAACAGCTGTGAGTCAAATGCTTTTGGAAGGGTCCAGGTTTTTGCATTTTTCTAGAAGTTATGAAGGCGCTGGGCTGTCTATATGTAGACTTCTGTACGGAGGATTTGCAGTTTGTTAGTGAAGATAGGAGGGTGCTCCAGAACCTGATCGAAATATCAGTGCCTTGGATGTGCCGTCTTAAACAGAGGTGTAAGATTGAAAACCAAATATGCCACTATTGTTGCGACACGTCAGAAGGGTTTGGATCCATTTGCAGTTTTATTAAGAATAGTCAGACAATACAGGGTCAAATACCGGCAAGGCAGAACAGCAGAGACAAGGCAGAGACAGAATCGTGAACCAGGCGAGAGATCGGGGCAGGCGGCTAGCAAACAGAGTCCAGGTGAAACAATCCAAGTCGGGGCAGGCAGATAACAATCAGAGAATCAGGAAACAGTCCAAGATCAGATGCACAGAAAACAAACACGGGTATAACGCTCGGAAATGACAGCCAGGGCAAATCACTGTAACAGAGCCCTCCCCCTGCGAGCGGCTCCTGACGCGAGGAAGCAGGCGACGCCGGGGTCTTCCACGAGGTCGAGGGGACGGTTTCTCTGGATGCTTCCTGTGAAACTCTTCCGTGAGAGTGGGGTCCAGGATATCTCCAGCTCTGACCCAAGATCACTCCTCCGGACCGAACCCCTCCCAATCGACCAGATACTGGAGGGTGCCGCCCCGGCGTCTGGAGTCTAGCAACTCGTGCACTCGATACACCTCCTCGCCGTCAATCAGGATAGGCAGGGAGGTCTGCGGCCTGGCTCCCTCCTCCGTCTCTCCTTTCGGACCACCAGCGGGTTTAAGCAGTGATACATGGAATGTGGGAGAAATACGATAATTAGAAGGCAGTTCTAAACGGAATGATACTGGAGTTATTTGTCTAGAAATTCTGAAGGGACCAACATACCTGGGACTGAGCTTTTTACATGGTAACCGGAGGCGGAGATCTTTAGTCGAAAGCCATATCCATTGGCCCGGTGTGTATTCTGGACTGGGACGTCGAAGTCGGTTAGCTTGTTGTTTTCGTCGTCTGACAGCGTGAAGTAGATGGGTATGAGCTCGGTCCCAGACCTCCTCGCTGTGTTGCAACCAATCTGTGACCGAGGGTAGGTCGGTGGGTTCGCCAGACCAGGGAAACAATGGTGGTTGAAAACCCAGGATGCACTTGAACGGGGTCATCCCTGTGGCTGGTTTCACCAGTGAATTCTGTGCGTATTCTGCCCAAAATAGATACCTGCTCCAGTCCGATTGTTGCTGCTGACAGTAGGATCTGAGGAATCGAATCACTTCCTGATTCAGCCGTTCGGTTTGCCCGTTGGATTGAGGATGGTACCCGGATGTAAGGCTGATATTGACGTTGAGGTGTTTGAAGAAGGCGGACCATACTTTGGAAGTGAATTGAGGCCCTCGATCTGACACGATATATTGTTGTTGCTGACAGTATGATCTGAGGAATCAAATCACCTCCTGATTCAGACGTTCTGTTTGCCCGATGGATTGCGGATGGTAACCGGATGTAAGGTTGATGTTGACATTGAGGTGTTTGAAGGAGGCTGACCATACTTTTGAAGTGAATTGAGGCCCTCGATCTGACACAATATCTTCGGGTAGGCCATAGAATCTGAACACTTGGTTGCAGAGCAATTCGGCGGTTTCGAAGGCTGTAGGGAGCTTGGGTAGAGGAATTAGGCGGCAGGCTTTGGAGAATCGGTCTATGATTGTGAGTATGGTGGTGTTACCTTGGGAATTGGGTAGGTCGGTGATGAAGTCGATGGTGATATGAGACCATGGTCGTTGTGGTGTCAGTAGTGGATTTAGCAGGCCGGCCGGGAGCTGTCTGGGTGATTTGGAAGTGTTACACGTGATACAGTTCTGGATGAATTTGGTTTTGTCGGTCAGCATAGTGGGCCACCAGAATCGATTCCTGAGCAGGTGTACTGTGGCAGTGATTCCAGGATGACCTGAGCTGGGTGTAACGTGTACCTGAGAGAGCAGTCGCTGTCGTTGGGGTTCCGGCACATAAGTGAGGTTGGCAGGGCATTCGGGAGGCGGTGGATCTTGGAGGTTCATATGTTCGATCTCGGTCATGATATCCCACTGTACAGGTGCCACGCTAAGGCTTTCAGGAAGGATAGTGTCATTAGCGGTGGCTTGGACTGTTTCCTCGGTTTGGCGTGAGAGAGTGTTGGCTTTAGTGTTCTTGGAACCCAGGCTGTATGTGACAGTGAACCGAAATCTTGTGAAGAACAACGCCCACCTGGCTTGTCTGGGGTTTAGACGTTTAGCCGAATGCAGGTACTCCAAGTTCTTATGAACGGTTAGGACGGTGAACGGGTGAGTGGTCCCTTCCAGCCAATGCCGCCATTCCTCTAGCGCTAGTTTCATGGCAAGGAGTTCACGGTTGCCCACGTCGTAGTTCCGTTCGGTGGCGGTCAGTTTGCGGGAAAAGAAAGCACACGGGTACATCTTAGCTGGTGAACCATGACGTTGAGATAGCATAGCGCCTACCCCGGTGTTAAA